ATGGCCGCCCGTTTATACCACAGTGGTCGCCCGTTTATACTACGATGGCCGCCCGTTTATACCACAGTGGTCGCCCGTTTATACCACGATGGCCGCCCGTTTATACCACAGTGGTCGCCCGTTTATACTACGATGGCCGCCCGTTTATACCAAAGTGGTCGCCCGTTTATACCACGATGGCCGCCCGTTTATACCACGATAGAAGCCCGTTTATACCACGATGGCCGTGCGTTTATACCACGATGTCCGTCCGTTTATACCACAGTGGTCGCCCGTTTATACCACGATGGCCGCCCGTTTATACCACGATAGAAGCCCGTTTATACCACGATGGCCGCGCGTTTATACCACGATGGCCGCCCGTTTATACCACGATAGAAGCCCGTTTATACCACGATGGCCGCGCGTTTATACCACGATGGCCGCCCGTTTATACCACGATAGAAGCCCGTTTATACCACGATGGCCGTGCGTTTATACCACGATGTCCGTCCGTTTATACCACAGTGGTCGCCCGTTTATACCACGATGGCCGCGCGTTTATACCACGATGGCCGCCCGTTTATACCACGATAGAAGCCCGTTTATACCACGATGGCCGCGCGTTTATACCACGATGGCCGCCCGTTTATACCACGATAGAAGCCCGTTTATACCACGATGGCCGCGCGTTTATACCACGATGTCCGTCCGTTTATACCACGATGTCCGTCCGTGTATACCACAGTGGTCGCCCGTTTATACCACGATGGCCGCTCGTTTATACCACGATAACCGCTCGCTTATAACACGATGGCCGCACCCGTTTGTAACACGATGGCTGCCCGTTTATACCACGATGGCCGCGCGTTTATACCACGATGTCCGTCCGTTTATGCCACAGTGGTCGCCCGTTTATACCACGATGGCCGCTCGTTTATACCACAGTGGTCGCCCGTTTATACCACGATGGCCGCTCGTTTATACCACGATAACCACCCGCTTATAACACGATGGCCGCACCCGTTTGTAACACGATTGCTGCCCGTTTATACCACGATGGCCGCCCGTTTATACCACGATGGCCACTAATGGCCACTTTTAAAGCTTATTTGAAAACGTTCCGCGAAGCTATTGATTTTTTTTTCAGAGCCCACCACCATCTTTGTGCACGCGACAGTAAATGAGGATGAAGACCAGAGCTATTTCTGCACGGGGGTGGGGCAGGGTGTGTGTGTGTGTGTGTGGGGGGGGGGGGGGGTTCGGGTGTGTGTACCGCGCTGTTGTTGATGGGGTCGGGGAGGGATCTGGTGGATGGTAATACGATTTAAAAGTGAAACTGGAGAATCCCGAATACGCTATGTAAGAAAACGTGTTTATGTTTATGTGTGTGTGTGTTTTGTTTGGGTGTGCGTGCGTATGTGTGTGTCTGTGTGCGTATGTAAGTTTGTTTCCTTGCTTGCTTGAGTTTGTATATAACCAGGATGCAATTTCTTGAGTGCATATATAGCCAGGATGAATTTTCAAATTGATTTTCTTCTATTAAATGAATGTTTTCTTCTCTCTCTCTCTCTCTCTCTCTCTCTCTACCCCACCCCTCCCCCAATAATTATCAAAATTCTGACCAAAGTTCGTATTTTTTAAAATTTATCTATTTCTTCATAGAAACAAACAGAGGCGTAGCGACCCTTCCCGGCGCCCGGGGACAAACTTTCGATTTGCACATCCCCTCAAACTTTCGATTTGCACCCCCCCCCCCCCCTCAAACTTTCGATTTGCACCCCCCCCCCCCTTCGAGATGTCGATTACTTTTTCCAACCCATTTTGGCGCCCCCTAAGGTCGGCGCCCGGGGACATGTCCCCCCTGCCCCCCCCCCCCCCATCACTACGCCTCTGGAAACAAAGCACACCCCTTACCCCCCGCCCCCACGCAGCACGTTAGGTCTTACAGGCAGTTCCCATCCCCTTCCAAATCACGTCCCTCGTACCATCCCTCTACCCCGAATAAAATATATTTTTAAAAAACCTCTAAAGACAATATATTTTAACCAGTATTTGCCCCACCCCCGGAAGTTTCAAGTGCCCTTCCCCCTAGTGGAGAGCAATATCTGAAAGAAACCCTGCTTTTAGACCCTCCTCCCATACGAGTTGATCGTTATTTATGGACAACCTTTAAATTAAATCAATTCACGTATGTTGGAGGTATAAGACAAGAGGCCGACATCCAAAAGGCTGACACGGATAAAAGGCCGACATTGTCAGCAGAAACAAAGAGTCTAAGACGTCTTGAAATAATTAAATTAAACCATCCGGTAATTCTTCACATATTTTCTATGTATTTAGTACAAGGTAAACACATTTTAATCATTTATGACAGCAACGGGTACCCGTAGTTTTTGTTGTATTCAACTTGATGAGCATCACTCACGAAGATCTGTTTACCTTTTTGCTCAGTCAATGTTGACTCCCCCGTGTGTTTACATCATTAGCTATACAGCCCATTTAAATGTCCTGAATAATAATTTGTGTAACAGATCTGCTGGCGTAATTATTGAATTGTTGGTTTATTCATTGGGGTGTGATACTCGTCTTACTTAAATTAGGGCGCGCGTTTGTTATTCTAATACTTGGACGCTTTTTTTTGTGTTACTAATAGTAGGGTGCCTTGTTGTGCCCCTAATGCTAGGCTAGGCGCCTGTTGGTGTAACTTATACTAGGGCGCAAGTTTATCGCACTAATATTAAGGCGTCTGTTTTTGACACTAATATTGGGGCGCCTCTTTGTGCCACTCCTAGGGCGCCTGTTTCTATCACTAGATGCCTGTTTGCCGCACCTATAGGCTTAGTAAGGTGCTTTGTCTTAAGAATACTAGGAACCTTGGTCATTACACTTACCTTTTCTACAGTTTCAGTAATAGTAAAATTTACTTGCTTTTTGAAAGCAAGCGTAGGACTGTACCATAAAATATACGGAAACCTGACAATTTGGCGTATGTTTTGTTGTACATATCACAAATACCCCAACATCTGTTACCGAGAAGCAACAAAAGCCTCCAACCCAAAACGTTAATACCGGCCATTACAGTCAAACGTTCTGTTTGGTTAGAGGCTTCCCTTCGCTCTCTACCCTCCCTGTCTAGAGAGGGACTGCCCGGTCAATTATCCGCCCCAAATGGAGGCAGGTTTCTCTCTCTTGCCGGGGAGGATCTCCGGTGTGGTGTAATCATTAGTCCCGCCGTGGCAGTAGAATCTCCCCCCCCCCCCCACACACACACCCAAATCGATAGTCAAAACAAATTCCTTCCCCACAAACCACAGTGATGGCTATGTTTGTTGACCTTTCATTGGAGGCCTCATTTCTCCGGTAAACCAAGAAACGTAGCCGTCGTCTTTATTTAAAGATGATATTCCCCCCCTTCCATTTACCCCCACCGCCGCCCCACCGAGGGAAGACGGATGGGGAAAGAGGGGGACAACGACTTGACAAGCTACAATTTGTTCTCAAGAAAATTGAAAAATTGAAACACGACGGTTTTAAGACAATATTTTTGAGACCGATGTCAGACATTTTAGGTTTGTTTCATCGTCTTTTTTTCGCTTCACATAAATTATTCACACACCACCCCCACAAATTACAACCCCCCACCCCACACACACACCCACACACGACCTCAACTTCCGAAATACAAGACAATCTCTGGGCCAGAACTGGCTATAGTAGTCCGAACTAGATCTACCTGTCTTCTCTACGAGGAAAATTCCCGATGGGACCAATCCAATTAGGAATCCAGTGACAATCCCTATTAGTACACAATCCCGAATTATGTCAATGAGAATAACTTTAAAACCACTGACATTACAATCCCGAATTATGTCAATGAAAATAACTTTAAAACCACTGACATTACCGAGATTATTTCCTGACATTATCGGCATAATTTAAGACAAAGACAATACCATTCAAGACTTTACCTAGACCAATCTCGTAAGTTCACAGGACCCATCACAGACAATAGACGCGCCGTTATTAGTATGACAAATTGTAGCACTCTAATCCCAAAGCTTAATTCGCAATCACTCTCAATTCCCCCCCCCCCCCCCCCCACCCACACCAATCTAACCCTCTTTTCTCTTACTATTCACACGCAGAGCGCCTATCTTTTTTTTTCTCTTTTACTGACAGTAAAAACAATTTCAAAAACCTTTCAGTTTATATTTAGCTTAAGTCGACTCGTCCTTCGATTTTTGATATTTGAAGTCAGCTTTCAAATATTGGGTATACTCGTTGTATTTTTTAGGTGTGTATGTGTGTGGGGGGGGGGGGAAGAAAAGTTTTTTTCGGGTGTTGAATTGGTTTGGAGCCGGGAGGTATTGAGATCTGTGGCCGGGTGGTTGTGATATTTTATTCCACTTAGTTTGATGTCTTTCTAACCTACAATGTACCGTTTATTGCTTGAAATAGTTGTTGGACTTTTACTTTACTTGTAGGCTAATTAGCCCCCCACCCCCATTCCCCCCACCCAATCAATTATGTTTTACTTACCCACTATCTATTTTGCCCTGCAATGCCCCCTGTAATGTAACTACCCCTTCCACCAACCCCCGTTCGATCTATTATGTCACAATAAACATTGATCTATTTGATCACACCAATCTGCCACTCTCTGCTAACCCCCTCTGTTTTTGTCCCACTGACCCCGGCATATTTTGTCTCACTGACCTCTATTATGTCGTACTACCCCACACCCCTTTACGTCCAACTACCCCCCCCTCCCAAATATGTCCCACTACCCCCCTCTACTGTGTCTGACTAACCCCCTTATTATGCCCCACTTACCCCCGTGGCCTACTAACCCCCCTATTATATCCCACGGACCTCCATTATGTCCCACTGACCCCCCATTATATCCCACTGACCCCCTATCACGTCCCACTGACCCCCCATTACATCCCACTGACCCCCTATTATATCCCACTGACCCCCATTATGCCCCACTGACCCCTGTGTTCTCTCACCCTCAGACATGTACGCGGGCAAACAATGTGTGGTCCGCACCAACAAAGTGGCGCCCGTCATCATCAAAGACTGCCGGGAAGAGTTCCAGCAATTCCTGGAGATCAGCGAGCCCATAGTCACCGGAAGTCTGGCAGAGGGCATGCCGGAACATCCGCTAATCAAGGTACGTCGTGCGGTGTACTGTATGTTTACATCGCACTGATCCTCTGTGTACGTCATCACATACAACATAATCGTGCCTGAGCACTGAGGTACCTTTAGCCTTCACACACAGATGTAGTTACTAGTTGAAGGATAAATATGTTACCGCTAGAAATTTGATTAGTTTACGTGAGGAAAATTTGATTTTAGCACGGCCTGACATACGCAGGACAAGCGTACTATATCATTTTATATATATATATATATATATATATATATATATATATATATATATATATATATATATATATATATATATATATATATATATATATATATATATATATATATATATATATATATATATATATATATATATATATATACATATACATATATATCCGTAATAAAATACGCGAATATACGTACAGATTGTACAAACATAGCTCCGACTGCTATATGAAAAATTAAATAGCTTCACAAGGCGGAAAATGCAACACTAAACGGGGTAAAAAACGTATTGTAATTTTACGTGTTCATTAATTAATACCTGTTTTTAAAGCCTATGAAAAATATTTTTCTGTTGGTGCTCCGATATCTGATCCAGATTCAAACGGCAAGTGTGGGTGTGTGTGGGTGGGTGGGATGGTGGAGTGAAGGGGATATTTGAAATTCATCGACATACTTTTTGGATTTTCCCCTGATTCGGCACATCGCTGGGGATCTTTAAACTAAATCTGCCTGCACTTTAAATTTTCGATCAGTCAAACTGTTGGCGCTCTCTGCTAGATACCCCAAATTCAGTGAGAATTTTTTTTTTCTTGTAGCTATAGAACAGATACAGCCCGTTTAACTCCTTCTCCCCCAGTATCGGCGCCAGGTTATTTAGCGCCCTAGACAAAACTTATTAAAACGCCCCCCTTTACACTAATTAACTACTAAAACATATTTAAAATAAAACAATTAATTAAAAGTGACATATTCATTTATTATCAATTTCATACATGTTATAAGTAGACATTAAAAATCTAATTTTACTTGCCCCCTTCGTCTCAAAAGTTTGTACTAATTCCTTCAATTCCAGTTTGCAAGCGTATTCACATCTTATTGAAAGTGTTGCTAAGTCCACGAATCAATTTTGTACATAGCCCCCCCCCTCCCGCCCCCCCCCCCCCCCAACCCCCACCCCTTAGAAAATTTTAAGTGCTTCCACCCCCCTCCCAGGAGAAAAAAGACTGGGGAAAAAACACTGGAAAAAAAAAGTTCTTGTAGTGTTGGGCTCTACGCATTCCTCCCAAAGTGAGTTCCAAAACGGAACTTACCTGTTTTAAGCTTGACTGTCTTTAGTTATAATTGTAAAATGTCTATATTGTGTGATTATGTAACGATCTTTTTGTTTTTGAAAAATAAGAGGTTATAAACGTTATAGATTCCAACCTAAAACTGTTATATATGAATCCTTTAGGAGAGGGTAAAAATTTGAAAAGACAATTAATTACATGTTTAATAAACGACTAAAACTGTATGTCTACTAATATTATGTTTTGCAATCTACAATGGCTACTGTTGTTTTTGTTTTTCAACTTGGTAATGCTAAAAAAAAAACTACCAAACTATTTTGTTTAGAACTTAAGCTCTAAATAATTTTTACAATAACTTAAAGTTGTATTTATATGTAAGCGGTCAACCTAAGGTGCAGGAATTTGAAATGAATGTAAAGTTAAGCAACGAATTATCTCCCATTTGGAAATACAAAGACCAAAATTTCATTCAATGGAAATAGCTTTCTAAAGAATAGCTAAATTGACCAAGTGTAACTAAGATATGTTTGAAAAAACACAATATAACGCTCTAAATTTCATTACGTAATAATTATAACAAACCTTTTATATTACATATGTAAACTTGTGACGAAAATATATTTTACCTATTGAATACTTAATTGTAGGTTTTGTTTGAAAGTCTAAAAATGTTAGCTTTATTATAGCATACTTCTATTCAATTCTGATGACATACTTTAATTGTGAGTTAGCTGAATGACTAAGTAAATAAAATTTTGGATCCCCTTAATAAAGGGACGTCTATCAAAAAATCAAACTCGGGTCACTGTTTTAGACATTACTAAAATTATTGATTAAATATTTTAAAAAATGTATTTGAAAAAAACCTAAAGTTTAAGGTTAGTTATAAATTCCATCCTATTTAATATTATATATTAATACTTTAAGAGTGGTAATATAGATTCCTAAAAAAAAACTAAAGATTTTTCAACTAGAGAACGCCTACCTTTCTTTGTAGTGTGTTCCGTAAAGAATTGAAATCATCTAACTTAATATAAGCTCGACTACTCGATATACTCTACTACATTCACAACACATATTAAACTTCGATAAATAAACATAACTAGACTCGATCCTCCATAACTACGACACCAAGTCGTTTAACTTCAACAAGCTCTACAAACGGTAATCCCAATCAACAATGATTTAACCGGACCTACTACTACACTTTAAACAGTCAATATAATTCGATACCTTAATACCACAAGAATCAATACTTCAGAACTACGATACTTTATCATCTGCATTCTCATTTCTCTACTACCAATCAGATTCCACTAGCTAGATCTTCAACTAGAAAACAGCCGAATAAAAATTATTACACTTTAACACTTCGATACACTATACCTACAAAATCATATCAGCAACAGCTTTCCACCGTTACTCCCTAATCTAAACGATTCATCAAAACTTACCAAACAAGTACAATACTTTGAACACCCCGTCAATACAAAACTCTATACACCAGGACAGATTTCTAATTCAAAGTCAGAAAAAACGAAACTAACAAGCCCTATTAAAATTAGATAACTGTTTGAAATGTTCGAAATTTAAATCACGAAATTATTTAATCGTTTTCTACATCAATTATGTGACATCAAATTAAAAAGGCAAAGTGACTGGTGAAAAGCGCCACGACCTTTCCAAATTAGGGAGGTGGAAATAAATATAGGCCTATATAGACCTAATTTTTGGGTGGGGTGCAAAATTGATAGTTCGTCCTGGGTGCCGTAATAGATCGCTACTCCTTTATAAAAGCTATTAATTATTAGGTACTTTTTGCTAATAGCTATTAAACCTTTTGTGCCCCCTTAGGGATGGCGCCCTAGGCGACCGCCTAGTTCGCCTTATAGGTAGCGCCGGCCCTGCTCTACCCATCCCTTTACCCGCCCCTGACTATTAGTAGTATTTTTAAACACTATACTGTTTGCCACAGTTCTTCAGAAGAGAGAAGATGTGAACATTGGTCAATTACACCCATTTCTTTAACATTCTCCAAAGCGTAGGTTACGTTGACTTAATTTTTTTTGTTAGAAATGGGAGGGACGATGGCAGGCTAGAAATGACGTTAGATGTGAAGAATTCCGACGAGGCCAAGATATTTATATCACATCGACATCTCTTGTAATGCACCCGTCCCAGTCGGTTGAACAAACAAGTCTCACACAGACTCTACTGCAACTAAAACATCTCACTTGATATCACACATTATCTGAATCAATTAAAATGGTATAGACATTTTTAAAACCTGAAACTTTATAATTAAAGTTGTGACTAAAGTGTCCTCATGCCTTCATGGACCAACAAGGTATGACAGGTGACCTCATTGGCCAACAAGGTATGACAGGTGACCTCATTGGCCAACAAGGTATGACATAGGTGACCTCATTGGCCAACAAGGTATGACATAGGTGACCTCATTGGCCAACAAGGTATGACATAGGTGACCTCATTGGCCAACAAGGTATGACATAGGTGACCTCATTGGCCAACAAGGTATGACATAGGTGACCTCATTGGCCAACAAGGTATGACAAATGTGTTCTCATGGTACGACAGGAAGATACAGGTGCCGACCTAACCCAAAGCTCCATTATCCAACAGCAGCGTACAAAAAAAAAAACATCAGTACTGCACCTTCGGTAACCCTCAATTTTGTTATATGTGTGATTGACCATCTTAAAGGCGGCTTTATTAGCCCTAATTTATTTAGTTTTGTATGATTGGCCATCTTAAAGGCGGCTTTATTAGCCCTTATTTATTTAATTTTGTATGACTGATCATCTTAAAGGCGGCTTTATTAGCCCTTATGTATTTAGTTTTGTATGACGGATCATCTTATAGGCGCCTTTATTAGCCCTTATGTATTTAGTTTTGTATGACTGATCATCTTAAAGGCGCCTTTATAAGCCCTTATGTATTTAGTTTTGTATGACTGATCATCTTAAAGGCGCCTTTATAAGCCCTTATTTATTTAGTTTTGTATGACTGACCATCTTAAAGGCGCCTTTATTAGCCCTAATTTATTTAGTTTTGTATGACTGACCATCTTAAAGGCGCCTTTATTAGCCCTAATTTATTTAGTTTTGTATGACTGACCATCTTAAAGGCGCCTTCATTAGCCCTAATTTATTTAGTTTTGTATGACTGATCATCTTAATGGCGCCTTTATTAGCCCTTATATATTTAGTTTTGTATGACGGATCATCTTAAAGGCGCCTTTATTAGCACTTATTTATTTAGTTTTGTATGACTGATCATTTTAAAGGCGCCTTTATTAGCCCTTATGTATTTAGTTTTGTATGACGGATCATCTTAAAGGCGCCTTTATTAGCACTTATTTATTTAGTTTTGTATGACTGACCATCTTAAAGGCGCCTTCATTAGCCCTAATTTATTTAGTTTTGTATGACGGATCATCTTAAAGGCGCCTTATTAGCACTTATTTATTTAGTTTTGTATGACGGATCATCTTAAAGGCGCCTTTATTAGCCCTTATATATTTAGTTTTGTATGACGGATCATCTTAAAGGCGCCTTATTAGCACTTATTTATTTAATTTTGTATGACGGATCATCTTAAAGGCGCCTTTATTAGCCCTTATGTATTTAGTTTTGTATGACGGATCATCTTAAAGGCGCCTTTATTAGCACTTATTTATTTAGTTTTGTATGACTGATCA